TACCTGGTTGATCCTGCCAGTAGTCATATGCTTGTCTCAAAGACTAAGCCATGCACGTCTGAGTGTGAACACTTTGCACTGTGAAAGGGGGGGGGACGATCTGGTTGATAAAGAGGCTTCTGTTCCAGAGCGAGGCTCTCGGTTTGCAGGCTCCAATGAGCCATTGACCCCGGTTGATACGCATGTACAGGGGATGGAGGATAAGGTGGAGGGAACTGAGCAGCAACCGGTGGCCAAGTCGGCAACCCTTGTGGAACAGGAGCGTAGGGCCTACGGGCAGCCGACCCCGACTGATACCCAAGTACCGGAGATGGGGAGTATGGTGGCGGGGACTGATCAGCAACAGGGGGATAAAGGGATACCTCGTGTGATGCAAGAGCAACGGGTGCACCCACCAGGGATGGAGCGTGAAGAGGAGGGGGTTGCGAAGCACATATCGGTTACCCCCCCGGAGGAGCGGGCACGGTGGGCGTGTGTGGTAAAGGAAAAGGCAAACTCTGGTGTGGAATGTCACCGGGAAGGGAAAGCGTGCGTCCCTGAATTGGATAGGGAATGGGAGCGGGGGGAGACGAGTGGAGGACGGGCGGATGAGGCCCAGTCACTGTCCCACCCCCCGGAGGAGGATGCTGGCAAGGTGGAGAAGGGGGTCGCAAAGCATACACCGGAGGAGTGGGAACGGGGGGTGGATGTAGTGAAGGAAAAGGTAAATTCTGAAATGGAGTATCACCGGGAAGGGAAAGCGTGCGTGCCTAAACTGGGTAGGGAGTGGGGGCGGGGGGAGACGAGTGGAGGACGGGCGGACCCCCCCCCGGAGGAAGAGATATTGGTGGGGAAGGGGGAGGATAGATTTGATGAGCAAGCACTTCGGGTTCGGGGGGAGAAGATAGGGCAAACCAAGGAGATGCTGTGTGAGCCTGGGGGGGAATGTGAGCAGAAGGGACAGGTGGGGCTGGATGAAATCAGGCCCGGGAAAGTGCCGGAGGACATTAATGAGGCAAATGGGTGGTCGAATGAGGAGGTAGTGGAATCTTCGGGACGGTTGGATAAAGAGGGGGGTGGGGGGAATAGAACGGAAAGCACGCTAGGGGGGAAGGTGGGGGAGAGTGAGATGCTCCCAGGGGGAGGGCAGACACGGGGAGCAGATAAGCAAGTGCTGCTCGACACAGACAGGAAGGTCGGGGAGGAGGAGACGTTGAGGGGGAATAGCAAGGCATGTATGCCTGAAGGAAAGAATGGGGTGAGTGAGGCGATTCAAGGGGGAGGGCAGGAACGGGAAAGGATGGGAGAGAGTGGTGGGAAGGAGAAGGTGGGCGGGGGGGGGAAGGGAGGAAAAGGATGGGTCCGGGGTTATCGGGGAATGGAGAACCACCTCTGGGGCAGCAGCAGGAATGCTGGCTCCTTATCCCTTATGGTCGTACAGAAACGGGTGTGGAGTCAACAAATGTGCATATCCTGGTCCAGGGGGACGCAAAAGAAGGTGAATCGGGTGACGTGGAGGTGGTGGACCTTGCAGCTAGCCTGTCGGCCCTCTCCCCCCCCCCCCCCCCCCCCCCCTCCTCCCCCTTCCCACAAATGTGAGCCCACTGCTGTATCATCGGACAGTGGATCGGTGGGCATGCCGAGACGTCGGCGGAAGCAGTTGACCACGGGACCACCCATATCGAGCTCTGCGAAGGTAGGAATTTCCTTACAGCAAGCAGCAGGGGAGATCCAGTCCGATCGGGAAGAGGCGCGACGCGAGCTGCAGGCACAGGCGGATGCAGAATCGAAGAGGCGGGATCGGTCCCGCTCCCCGGCTGGCCGTAAGGTGCAGCCGCTTAAGGATGAGGACCGATGGGTGTCCCCGCAGCGAAGACGCATTGACGAAGAGGAGTTGCAGAATAAGGTGACCGAGATGGGGCTGGCGGAAGGCAGGGAGGATGCGCAAACCCGCCAGCCTGCCCCGGATTTGGATGAGCCCATGATAGGGGATGAAGGTGGGGACTCGACGGATGACAGGGGCGGATCGAGGGATGAGGACATGGATCTCAATGAGGGGATGGAAGCAAACATGGATATTACTACAACGGTGAAGGGATCGCTACAGGAAATATTAGCTGCTGGGGAGTGTTATGTCTGCCCGGTGATGCTATGGTGGGCGGAGCAAGGCATAAAGGTGGTCACGAAAGGCAATACGGAATTCTTCGTCTATGCGGCGCGCTCCCTCCCCAAGAACCCGAATATTATCAGACAAGTCAGTCGTTGGGTGGGTCCCAACTATAGAGTGAAAGTGCTTCCCAAAGTCTCGGTGGGACGCTTTTTCAGACAACTGCGAGGGGGGACGGAGTACGGGGTGTTGGTCTTTTTTACATCCATCACCCCCCGACGAGCGGGCTCTCTGACTTTGGCTCACAAGGATGCTACTTGGACGAAGTTGGATCAGGTCTTTGGCCCCCCTGCCAGCCCCGACTGACTATCGGATTGTCAACGAGTTTACGGCAGGGATATTGGCCAAAGTCAATTCTATGCTACCTATGAACCAGCGTCTGGGATCGGGGAACTTTACTGAAGCTAAAGGTTGGTGGGCGACGGAGGATAGGATGTAGCAGGGTTAGACGTAGTTGTGCTGTGTTAATTATGAGTGCCTCTGGGTGAGTGCACTCCCTCCTCTAGTGTAGAATAGCTCGTGCTGTAAATCTAGCAGTTTTGTTTGTTTCTGTTTGCTTTCTTCTTTTTTGATTACATTTTGCTTGTCTGTTTTTTTGTTTGGTTTGTTGTTTACAATTTAGTGTTTTTCTTCATCCACCCGTCTGGTTGGGGCTGCCGGGATGGATCGAAGAAACCGATTAACTAAGCTCAAGCTATTAACTTGGAACGTGAAGGGCTTGTCGACTCGCTCTCTAAATCCGAAGCGATGGGAGCTGCAGCGTACGGTCCGCAAACACCAGATTGACGTTCTCTGCCTCAAGGAGACTAAGTTGGGGGAAGGACTCTGTTTGCACAACGCCCCCTGGTGGAAGGGACCTCAGGTCTGGGCCACTGCGCAAGGAGTAACTGATAGAGGAACGCAGGGGGGCGTGGCTATTCTGATATCCCCCCATTTCCGAGGGGAATTGGTGGACTGGAACTGGGATAGACAGGGGCGATGGGCCTGCGTGATACTACAGTGGGGGCGGACCCGCTGGTGTGTGGTGTCGGTGTATGGACCCTCGGATCCCCGCGCGCGGATTGACCTTTGGGCGGAGTTCAGAACCCAAATCCCCGAAGTTGAATGCTATGTGTTTGCTGGGGATTTTAACACCACTATCCATCGGGGGCTGGATTCTCTCCAGGAACGCCCGCCCACGGCAGATGCGGAGGCGCTACAGTTGTTTATGGCAGAATTAGACTGTGTGGACGTCTATCGCACGGCCTTCCCTGCGGGACGGGAGCTCACCTGGTATGGATCGGCAAACCGAAGGAGCCGGATTGACATGGTATGGGCCTCGAGTTCGATCTTCAGGAGTGGCAGCGAGATTGCTTACCTTTCAACAGCGCTGTCAGATCATGTAAAGGTCGCAACCAACTTTCCGGTGGGAGACATTATGGTGGGTCACCCACAACCGTCCCTTCCCGCATGGGTCTTTCAGGACGAAGAATATAAACCTCTGATCCAACAACGTTGGGATAATTGGCTGCCGCGACGCCCCCAAGGAATGGACGAGTTGGGATGGGTGGCGCACGGTTAGGAAGCATTGGGCGGAATGTGGGGTTTTTAAGATTGGGCACCTGTGGGACGAGGACGAGAGGGACTGGAGGAAAGAGGCTGACATGGCAGTGCGGCTCCCCCACAAGTTCCAGAGGCGGCAACACCTATCTGCCCTTCAGCGGGCTATTCCCACGCAATGGGTGGACACATTGAGGGAGGACCATAGTGTGGGGGGAGACTGGGTGAGACGTAAGGGAGAGACACACCCCCTGCAGGTATACCAGATCACTGAGGTACAGGGTGAGGAGGTGGTGACGCGAGCATGGAACGTGGTGACTGGGTATGAGGGTCTGGGAGCCCCAATGAGAGTCGGACCTGGTGCGGAGATGCGGTGGAGAACTGATGAAATTGAGACGGTGGCGGTATGCGCAGAGAAGAAAACAGAGGGGGGGTTGGGAAGTGCCCGACCCTTTCGGATTTGCAGTACAAGGCGAGAGTTGGCGATTGACCCGCAAGAATGGAGTTGGCCTAAGCAGAATTATAATCAACAAAAAGTCTGGCTCCCTCAAGTGACTACCAGGGTCATATACCGCTCCCTCCTCCCCCCATTGGATCTGCGTGAAGAACTGGTGGACCGATGGGCCAAACGAGAGTGGCTTCCCGTGATCTACCTGTATCGGTGGCGAAGGAGGGAATGGAGAGAGCAGTGTGCAGTACTGCAATCTCTGTCGAATCAGAAGCAGGCAGGTCTTTTGTGGCTCATCTACCACCTGGCGGTCCCCACAGCGCAGTGGCAGGCCAATAAAAGCAATTATCAGGACGAGCGTTGTATTGCTGGATGTGGCCAGGTGGAAACCATCCCTCATCTCTTCGTCGCCTGTCCGGTTCTCCAACAGTTTTGGATGTGGTGGACTGCAGAAGTAGGGAAGTACTCTCCTTTCTCTATCACGGAGGACGATGTGGCACACATTTTATTGGGCGCCCTGGTTAAGGTGGATAGGAAGGATAAGGGGGAGCTCTATGCCTCGGGAGTAATACGAGCGGCTGTACTCTGGGCCATTTGGACCCTTCGAAACGAACGTTGTCGACAGGGCAGGGTGATCACCCTGCAAGCTYTACGCGCACGGGTCCTGGAGAGCCTGCGCACGGCCATGTCCACTGAGGCTCTGCGGAGTAGGAGAGCCAAAGATCACGGTCTGATGAAGTTCTGGGCTGTCTGGGGTAAATATCCAGGCTTGGTACAGCAGGATGGGAATCCGGGGCTATGGAAATATGGCCCGGCCCTGTGCAATGACGGGTCTGCTTAGGATGAGGGTATAATAGATAGCTTGAGCCTGAGTG